TGCAATTTTTGGATCAAATACTTGCGAGGTGAATCAATGATTACTCGAATGTTAACGTTGAAAACTTTTCGGCTGAATTTCCTTGAAAATTCATCGGATTCCTCGAGAGCTTAAATAATTTAGTGACGTCGTTCGCGAGAGCAGTTTCAGGTGAGCACGTGTTGCAAAGCTCTCGCATATCACAAGCCTCGACTGCCTTCAGGCCTCAGCCCCGTCCTGACCGTAATTCGGTTTGCACTTTGCAAGTTAGGTCAATTTCTCTATATACGGGCTTGTCTGTGTGTGTATGTGCGCAGGTGTGCGGGTGGGTCTATGTGTCTGTGCAGCTAGAGCGAATAATTAGCATTACTCACGCCCTACATAAATGCCCTCCGATCCAGCTATCAATTACGCTTAATTGTAGTTAGGTGTAAGGGCATCTGTGAGAGTCGTAACGAGTTTAATTTTCTTTCTCGTATTATATTATACGCGCGGCCCGAGTAGAGCTTGCATTAGCGCGCCCTAGTGTGCCGCACGCGCGTATCCCGTTGTGCCGATGCTCGAGTTGCAGCTTTTTTTCTTATTCATGTAACGCACGCGACTGAATTACACGAGGGGCGTAATGACTTTTCATTTTCATCGTCATGCTAATATGCTGCCGCGCTTGCGAAGCATTCAGCTAGTGTGTGCAGCGAGTAACGAGAAGGCTTGGCGTAAATTCCATGTATCAAGTAGCCCTTTTAACAAGAATGTCGAACAATCATCAAACGATATTAATATTTTTTGTATCCATTATGAAATTTGCTACCATGAGGCATCAGAAAAGAATCGTAACTATTTATTATCGAAAGGTTATTATCAGAGACTTATTTTATTGCGGATAGATTAGAATGAATTCAAAAGACATTTAAAAACGAATAAATGTCTTTCAGTTTGTATATTACAAAATAGGGTTTGTGCGAGATTGAAATTTTTTATATCAAAAATGACGTTTTTGTGGAAAATCAATTAAACACGGGGGACGCATAGTGCCTACAGCAAACATGCAAACGTGCGCTAATGTTAACATGACTCACACTATATACAAGTACTAGCAAGGGCTCCCTTAATAGAGACTTTGACTTTAAAATGAGAGTCAATAAATTCACACGAACGAGGCGAAAAAAGTCAAGACAGACAAAAGACGGTGACCGCCGGTCTTTATACATATAAGAAGCGCCAGACAACAGCACTCGTAGACAACCAATCATCGAAATCTAAAGATTGACGAGTCAATTCACAAAATTGTATTTTGAATTAACATGTGATATATGTGACAAGCGATTTGAACGCCGATGAAACAGTGCAAAACAATAAAGAGCAACGAACAATCGACAGGTCGTAAAAACTAACCATCAGCAGGTTTCATTCAAGGAAAGTCTATGTGCATTGTAGCTAATGTCGAGATTCGGAGAATCCGTCTGGACACATTGGACTAGCCAAATTTTGCGAAATTGTGAGGATCATGCTGCACGCGCTTCTTGATGAAGATTTGCAGAATCGATTCTTCGAAAATTGAATCAGGAAGCGAGAGAATGCAGTGTGAAGAAGCCCGACTTTTTCTCATTGATGCGGGTCGCTCGAGCCATTTATAAGTGTCTGCGGATGTGAACTTTGAAATTTTGCATAATGTCTAATGTGTACATTATATCCCGAGTACTCATGGTTTTTTTCTAATTTTTTGGGATCCTTTAATTATAAGCATCCTGAATTTTCATCTATAAAATATTATTTCTGTAAACAACAACGATTTGTTCTTTGCGGAGCCAGAGAAAGATTGAAAAACAATCCCTAAAATTCGAATAAAATTTGTAGACACGTATAAAAGTTCGAAAAAAAAAGTTTTTTATGTCAAAACCATTTTATTTCGTAAATAATCGACCACATTGATAATGATAGTCGCTTCAAGTTTTCTTTTGTTAGTAACTAATATTGTATTATTTTAGTTGAAAGTCAACACTTCAAGTTCCGGTTGCTTACCTACGTTGAAGCTTAAGAAAAGGTCAAGTTTCTCTAAATTTTAATTCACAGCTTTACTGTTGAAAATGAACAACCATAAAATTGTTTTCTTTTACGTCTAGCTCTGTGTTGGTTTTGAAATTCTTAAAATGTACTCAATCGGACTTTTGAATACAAACATTGAAAAGAACGAGAGAACGATGAACGGGCGATCGACGTGTGAGCAAAGAAAAAAAATTGCTGCCACTACAGGGACAAAGAGATTCCTCCTGAAAATGTGATTATTCCTATCTTCATGAACAAATGTTGGTAAAATAATACGTGCGTATAAATAGCCATGCCGCTACACGTTCAGTATAGCTATACTGAAAAATTGTCTAGCTTTATGCTAACTCTGAGGTGATGGCGAGCCACGCAGGGACACGCTAGAGAGGCTACCGGTGCGTGTTACTTTTTTCATGCATAGTGTGAAAATTTCGTCGCTGAAATTTCATACGCTAGATGAGTGCGTATAAGCTGCCGCATAAGTAAAGTGTCGAAAGCAACACTCATTCTCATCGTTCAGGTGTCCTATTGAAAATCAAGCAGCGTGTAGGGGAGGCTCTAATTTTCACTATAATCGCATTTGTAAATGAAACTCTGCACAAAAATAAAAAATAAACATCATTGACTACAGTACGGTCTGTTGATCATAAAAAAGTCTATAATGGAGAGTAAATATTATTCTGAACGAATCGTTAGTTTTTATACTCGTGCACGCGCATATTCGCCGCGTTTCGATCGGAAAGCGTATTATTCTCGTTTTTTCTCTGGCTCGTTTGGCTATTCAAATCGAGAGGCGCGCTTGATGGATTCGTCATCCGTCAGCACGACAAAAAGAATTTTCCACTGAAAATAAGTCCTTATAATTTCGATGGCGTTGCATTTTTGTATTTGTCTCGCTATTTGTCTGCGTTTGTATGTATGCACAGAGCTCATATGTTAATACACAGAGGCGGCGCACACATATATAGAGACACGCACCGCATCGTTACGTCAAAGTGTGAAAATCGCAGCGGCTTATCGTGTCTAAATCGTATACCAAGCTTGTAAATAGGTGCGAGGAGAGAGAAGCTGGTTTTGTGCGTGCTATGCTGCTGCTCTCTGCGCACACATATCAGCGGTCGCAAGCGCGTTATATGCCGCGCGCTCACTGCGGTTGAATAGATTATCAACGCTGAATGCATTATAAAAGGTGACAATTTAATCTTTGCAAGCTGTGTCACACACATACTCGCGCCGCAGCAGCAATGCACAAGACGCTCGTTATTATTACGTTGAATCGTCAATGACAACTCGTGCGCGTTCTAGATTTAATCGCAGTAAGTATATTATAAGCTGAGCATAGTGGAAGAGACCACATAGCCGCCTTATATTGGATACGCTCGCACACTGTCACACACACGGAATCGGACTGCAGCACTACGTGTACGTGCACAGACGAAGCCGCGCTCGGAGTCAACAACAACGCATTTGCTTGTTTGTCGTATATATATGAGGCAGAAAAAAACCGCGACGTACGCGTTATTCCGCGCCCGAGCGCGCGGCTATACAATTATATACGTCTTTGCCGAGGCGCGCCTTCTCCGATGTCTATTCGAAAAAAATCGCAGCGCGAAAAGAACCGCAGCTCGATATACGATGTGTGCACTTTTTGTTTTTCGGGCTTACTCGCGCGCGCCACGATCGCAAAAGATCGCAAAAGGGCGACGTCGTCAAGGACTCAAACACTACATCTACATGCAGGCGTATGTTCTGGGCAAGGCTCAATGCAAACCTTATGATATTAATTCAGGTTCCTCTAACTCGTGCACTTGCTGCACCCGATATGTATAAACAGGCTCGATTCGCATAGAACTGCATAATTCATGAATGTACGCCGCGCTCCTATGTAGACCTATATATAGGAGCTACTCTCGGGCTGCTGCGCGACGAGAGATCGACGACAGCGTGTCTCATGCTGTACTGCTGCTGCTGCTCCACAGGACGCGAAGCGGGCCTTTATGCATAATACAGCGCAACTAAGTACGGACTAGTGCTGCTGCTGCTACTGTCGCGAATGAGAACAGCTAATACCTTTGCTTCCGACTCTCACTGTATATAAGCTCGAGCAAGCATCTGCGACGTAAAATACATAAGTGATGCATTAGACGAGTCGCTGCTGTGCAGTACTTGTCCAATTTTCCGAGCGAGAATTTGCTCCGCCAATAAAAGTACTGAAATCTTTATAAGCGTGTATTTGAGCTACGAACGACGAGGACGAGGAAGACGAGGACGTAACGGGGGGCGAGCAGAGCTGCATCGCCAGCAGGGAAGGACCGACCGAATCGCCAGGCAAGAAAAAGATTCGAAGAAAGTTGGTATGCAGCCGCCTAAGAAGTGAGTAAAAAAAGAAAAGGAGAATTGGAAAAAAGACCCTTGTTGCTCGCGTAAGTCACACGAGTCCCTATACACATGTGTGCATATGCGTGTGTCCCACAGAGTCCCGTGCATTTAAGCAGCAAAAGCCCATTATGTACGCTGCAGCCACCGGCGCGCAATCGAGTTTCTTCTCCATAAACTCGAAACGCAGAGATTCTCGAATGAGCGCGCGGGGACAAATTGCGGAGCGTTGCCTCGTGCACGAACAGGGTTTCGCGGCGAGACGACCTGCTGTTGCTGCTACACGAGCAGACGATACAACGAAGCCTGGCCCTATGTGTGTGTATGTGTGTGTTCTATTCGAGCACATGGACTATGCTCTTTTGGAAGGGACGAAGTGGCGGAAGAAAAATGCGCGGCATGCAAAATATTCAACGCATCGCGTCGCGAAACATTGCCACTCTGTGTCACACGCAATAAATACACGGCTGCATCTATTATAATGTGTGCGTGCGCGCACCGGCAGCAGCATCGATGCATGTGCACTGCACACATTGAGAGAGAGAGAGAGAGAGTTGACAAAAAGGAGCGATAAATAATATGGTTTTGTTGGCGATGCTTACCCCATTAATTCATCGACTCTCGCGATCGCAAGTCGGTTGGTTTCGTTGGCCTTTTTGCGATTGTACTCGACCTTCCTGCCGGCGTCTTAGTGTCCAGTTCCTGCGGCAGGGCCACCTCTTCCTATTATGCGTTGCTGCTGCTGCTGCTGCTTACTCGTTTGCCCGAAGGTTTGCGCGCACTGCTCACACGGAGTTTAAGGAACGAGCCACTGCACTCTGTATATGACGCGCCTGCGGTACTGTTGCAGTCTTTTCTCTCTTTCTTATGTGTGCAGGCTGTGCTGCACAACACGGCGACGGCGATATTTTCTGTATATATAGCCGAGGGACGACGAGCGAGAGTCGCAGACGAAGAGAGAGAGAAAGAGAGATACCCGATGTAGTATGTGCAAGAAGAGAGCTGCAGAAAGCGAGATCGAAAGAGAAAGAGACGACGACTGCAGTCTTATAAGCTGCCTCCTATATATATAATATATATAAGGTGCACACCGTGTTGTACTCGCTTATAGGACTAAACTCGGCGACTTACGAGTACGAGTAATAGCGAACGAGCAAGACTCGTTCCTCGATGCACTCCGCAGCGGACGATCCGCGAGCGCGACTCCTTTATTCCACGCTCTCGACGCAACTGCACATACAGCCGCTGCCGACTTCTCTTATAAGGGTTTGTATCGGCTATATTGCCATTAGCGCACGAGTATTTATGTATGTACAGCAGCTCACTCGCGAACCGACATACCTATATGATGTAATGGTATTATATGCGATGCACTTCTCGCGCGGCCCGCCACGATCACGACGATGCTCCAATGTTATTCGCTTGCTATTTGTTTGTAACGTTCGAAATTTCAAACACACTGCGCGATGGAATGGTTATCGTGCGACGTAGACGAAGCCAACGATTTACTGTCAAAATATATTATATGCTTTTTCCTCCGCGTCGAGCCGAATGCCGCGGATGATAATGACGACGATGACAATGATAAATCACTCGCGATTCTCTCAAGCACTCGCGAGTCACTCGGCGACGATCGGGGCACACAGCGAAATTCGACACATACGTGAGATATACTGCACAGCCTTATACGTATAACGGTTATAATTATTTTGAAACGAGAGTTCACCCAGACACGGATCAAACACGGACGACTTTATTTATAACATAGAGACCCAGTGCGCGGGGCGGCGATGTTGTATGATCGCGACGGGTCATACGCGCAAGTATATCCGAGAGCTGGCAGGAAGCACGTGCCACGGTCGGTTGAGCAATGTCGCGCGGCCTGCCGAGCTTGAGACACTTGCTCGCCGACGTTCGCGACGCTACTGCGCGTGAACTGCGACTTGTCCGTCTGCGAGAGCGTCTGACTCTGCTCCGCGTTATTGGCTTGCTGCTGCGAGTCTGTGCTGCTGCGGCGCATGCAGAGTCGGCCGTCCGTCGCCGCGCGAAAAACTGCAGCGCCCGATGCCCGTGCCTGCCCTGCCTACCAGTGCCTCCTATGTCTATTTGCGCGCGCGAACTTGGCGGGAGAACCTGAACCAACGACGCGCATCCGCATATAATACACCATTCGAGGATCGGAGTGGCGCTTGGGCGCGGGAACTTGCATTTGCACGTATATATATGATGCACACATACACAATCGCCAGCCGAGTTTAAATACCTATGCACATCCTGTGCGTATGCATAATTCATGGTTTTTGCTCATTTTTGTTTCGAATTCTAGCTCATCCCCGACTGACTTTGAAATCTTATGCACGGAATGGAGGATTAAGAAATAAACAAGTACGCTAAAATTTTAACTTTTATATATTTCATTCAGAAAAATTCAGGTGTGTGTCAAGATTGGAAAAAATAATTTTTATGGTAAACTATCGCGAAGCATATTATTGCATGATATTAAACGGGTTGAAATACAAAATTATATTTTTGAGCATTTTTTCAAAGCGTAACGGGTTAAATTAATCGCTCGTTATTTAAGAAAAATAATGGGTCACATAGTCAATGGCACAATTAGCTTGGTTACGTGTGACCAATTCATTAGAACCTTATACAATTATTTTTACTTTGCTACTTGCAGATTTATAGATATAGGGGTATTGGCCATCTACCGGTGGAAGCTGTATTGAAGTATTAATTTTCAATTAATATTTTAAATTTGAGTATCTTAGATCTTATTGGGTGATTTTTTCTTCAAGAGTAATGTAAAATATTATATTATATGCACTTTTCTGGTTTATGTAAAAATAATCAGTTCTGGTGAATTAATTTTCAACGAAGATTTTATACAAAAGTATGATAGATATATTTAATTCAACGTTTAATATATTATGCTCTATTTGCATTTGCACTCCTCTGTTCGTTTTTAAAATATATTATTTTATGAAGTTTTTCAGGTCTGATAAATCTGACGTTGGATACACTAGTTCGCTACATCGCACTTACAACAGTTATTCGATTAGTTGATTTCATTGTTTCGTTTTCACAAATCGAATTATTAATAGATATAATTGATCTCGTCACTCATATATATTCACTAACTTAACGACAAACATTATGCACATATCATAGGTATGTCGTATGAAAAGGATGATTAAAACTTGATTTATTATATGAACTATTACGAGTTCATTGAATTATAATTCCGATAATAATCTAAAATTTTACGGCAATGGGTTTCATTACTAATAAAATTCGCAGTAATTCCACGGTTAGTCACGTTCATTATTTCACTTTGCGTATCTTCTGCCATATCGTCAACTCAACGAGTGACGTTTCGAGCGATCAGTTTACTTTTTCATCAATAGCCAGCGTGAATAGAAGAAATGACACTTGGAATGACTCTTTCGATGCTCATCGCGTCGACACATTCGTTTCGAGCTTTTTATTTGCAAAAACACGACGTGTCTCAGTAGTTGTAAGTTTACAATATCACATCTCGTTATATCATAACGTTTGTTGAAAGTAATAAAAGTTCTAGATGCTGCGTAAGTTGCAGTACAATAAGACGGATCAATCGATTTAAGTTTTTCCAATACAGAGGCAAACGCTTTGCGCGAGTGTAATTTTTCAATCGATGCGCCGCGGGGTATCGACGTCAAATTCTGTATACTCATTGCCAAGCGAATTCGAAAAAAATCCAACTATCTCGAGCCAAAGCAATTGTCTCTGCTGTACAATCGCGGCAACTCAGTGCAGTACTCTAAGATTTTCTATAAATACTCGCGTGACTTATATTTATTATACATTCGAGGATAATTTCGCGAGTGGAGCGCGTGTATTACTTGGCGCATGAGCGCGTATACCAAGAGCCGCTGCATAAGTGTGCAGTACTCAAGCTCATTTACGACTCCTTGATGGAGGGCGTATAATGTTACAAACGCGCGCGGATGCTTAAATATATACACTCGCGCGCAGTAGAATTTTGCAGCTCGGGACGGTATTGCCTCGCGCGACGCACACGCGCTACGCGTGACCCGCAGTCGTCACTAATGCACATATATCGAACGTCGTAATATAGTCGTGTGTACAGGCACTCTCGGTGCAATTAGTCTTGCTAAACGAAGTACTTCGAGGGCGCAATTTTCAGAGTTATATTACCTCCCGAGAAAAGTACTTGCCACGCGTGTGTGCGCGCGTAAAATTCAGCTCCTTGCAGTCGCGCACGCGGAGCTCGTTTTCCCTCTTTCTCTATTAGTCGTTATATTATTTCCGAATGAAATGGCTATTGGTAACGCGTTCCTGTGCATCGGAGAGTTTTTCCATCGACAACGCGACCGACATAAAGCGGCATTGAAACGTTTAGTCGATGGAAAATTCTTCCGAGTTCTTTTTCGCGTAGCTCTTCCGATGGCCGCGCGCGGCTTAATTATGTTCTTCGCTCGCACACGACGAAGAAGAGCATTATATATATAACGCGTATGTATCAACAGCGGTTTTTTTATCAAAGGAAAAAAGAGTCGAGTAAAATTCGACAGTTCCGTAATTACTTTTCACGTTGTCGAGCGTGTTTTCTCTTGCGTTCTCTCTTTCCAAGCTCTTCCGAGAATTGCCGCATCGGGATCTCTCGTGGTGTGTATACAAGCAAACACTAATTAATTTTCACGCTTTACAGCAACATAATGACACCCGTAGTCAAGTATATTATATAGACGTTCGTAGTTTCTTTCAGGTCTCGAGATCGGAAACTGCAATTTGCCGACGACTTATCTACGCTATCTCCCGATATATATTATCGCTTTTCACATTTGCAACTTGTAATTACATGTACGTTATGGTAAACGCGAGCTGTTTATTTCGTGCAGTTCTTGGCATCGTCGCGCGAGCTCTTTCCTCTTCGTGCCGCAAGAATTTTACAATTACGTAATTATATATAAAATTATTGATAAATGATAAAGATTGATATTATATTAATTTGTACCTGCGTACATGTGGTAATCCTACACTTCAATTGAGTTTTGCGTATTGAAAGATGCGGTAGTATCTAGTCGGCAAAGTATACAAAAATGTTTGAAAGAGAAAAGGGTTTGAATCAAGATACTTTTAGTACTCAAAGGCCTATCGAACCGGTGTCGTTAGATAGAGAATCAAAAATCGTGCCAAATTTCAGTTCATCTGGTGAATTGAATAAATAGTATATCAGCTTCAGCGTGTGCGAGGATAGCTTGGACACTGCAACTGCGCATCCTGTTATTTATTCTGCACTTTTTTTAATTACGAAAGAGGCTCTTTGAAATTTTACACGTAATACCCGATTCTGAAGTTACGCTCTGAATCTAAAAATAAAATGAGGACTTAATAATTTGCAAGCTATTATATCTATATTGAAAAAAATGTTACCGCTAAATCCATCGAAAATGGAGTTTCCCGACACATCAGAAATAATTTTTCATTGAATAGTTATGAATTTTCCGTTTTGAATTTGGCGCGATTGTTGAGCCTTTATCGGGTTTTCTATTGTGACTGTATTAGTACTGGTACGCTCGTTCGCCTTTGTTTTCGTAATCGAGTCAAAGCATCCTACTTAATTTCATATGTAACATTTAGTTCTAGCAATGTCTGGTGTTTACTTGTGTATCAGTCGTATCTTCTGTATTCGATACACATATAATTTAATATTTTACTGATAATTAAACAGTTAAATTATTTTACTGATTTTTCACTGAGATTTCTGACCCGTTACTATTTATTTTTTGCATCAAATCGCTATGGAAATTTCCGATAAGACTGTTCCTGTCGTCATCAAAAGGGAGCCTTTGGAAGAGGGCGAGCTTACCGAAGATTCAGAGCAAGGTGCTCCTTTTTCTGTCGTCATCAAAAGCGAGCCTTTGAAGCCGGCAGAGCCTCCCAAAGATTCAGAGCAATTTGTAAGTAATTTTATCTCAATTCATAAGTCATAACCATAATAGAATAGATTTTTAAGGCAGTTTTATTATGCTAACAGGCTTGCTGGCCAGATCTTGTGCACAAAGTAAAAGTTGAAAATGAACATTCTTCGAGTATTGGAAATCGATTACGTAGTATAGTTGGATGGGTAAAACCGAGTCAAAAGCGCAAATTTCGTGACTATTCAGATAATGAGAGGGATAGATCACGAGATCGAAGCAAAAGGTTTTGTTACAGACCTAATAAAAAATCGAAAAAAAATAATTTGGAAACATCTAAGGAAACATTCAACTGTAAATTGGAAATATCTGAAAAAAAATTCAAATGTAAAAATTGCTTCAAGGCATTCGAAACTGCTCTTCAAGTTCAGCAACATGGTCAAGACAAGCATGGTATTATTCAAGAAATCGTTAACAATGATTTGAACGGATCTAAGCAAATAAATGAAAAACAATGGAAACAAACATTGCAATTAAGAGTTCAGCAGAAACTAAATTTAGATGCCAATAACAATAATAGCGAAAACATAAAAAATGATAGTAATAGTGGTTTTCTTACTAAATTGAGACAGTTTGTTAACGATACTGATACAGCAAAGAAAAACTTGGGATGCAGTGCTTGTTATCACAATCTAGCACTAAATAATAGAATAAGACATTTTGTGGATAGTTCGACAAGTACGGAATCACTGACTTTGTGTCAGAGGTTTTTAGAAGATTTTCAGATGCAATGTACCGATAATCACAGGTCAACACACGAAATTCTTAGCTGTGAAGTCTGCAGGAACATGGCCGAACTCAAAGAACATATCAAAGATAATATTGCGTTTGTAGAATTGTTCATATCGTGGCTTTTGAATTAAACAGATTTTGTTTTAAACAAAATAGTGACGGATGAAATAACGTGAAAAATGGTTTTTCTACATCGTTGATTACTGTCTCAACCTGCCATAATTTTTTCATTAGTTAAGAATTTCTATTAATTCTGATCTATATTTTAGCATTTATTTTTAATTTATTCATCTAAACATGTTATTATATTTACTCACAATAGTCAGGTGAGTCTTATTGATCATATACATGTATGTACAGATAGTTATTTAAGAATATGTTATTTAGGCACATTTCTTTTTAATTTTTTTTTCCATTTGAATTTTATTTTTAATTTATTAATTAAAGATATTATTACATTTATCTTCGATCGTTATTCAAGTCTTATTGATGATATACACATGTATAAATAGCTTGTAGATAATTGTATATCTTTCACATATCTTTTATGTATGGTAAATAAAATATACTTTGTAATTTTTTTGGGATCTCAATTTTTTTTTCCTCAAATTGTTTTAATTTGACGGCATGATCCACGTATAGTTTATCTGCTTATACGAATATATTATGCAACTATTTTAAGATCTTCATAAAAGCAAAGAATGATTATTACTTGTTTTGATAAAAAAGATGAGAGAGGTTGAATTAACTTCAAAAAGTCGTTACGTTAATAAAAGAAAGATTAGTAAGCAACACGTTGCAAAGATATTTCAGGATGCTCAATACTTTGTTAGTAAATTAACAATCAGTAAGTATAAACTACTGTGTTTAACTTGAAATAATTTCATACACATTGTGCGTTTACACATAAACAATACGATTTATAGTTGAGTTTCTCAAACTTGAATTTGCTTTTAGAACTTTTGAGGTTTGGCTTAACGTTAGAAAAAAATATTACTACAAATCTCTCTTGACAGCAGCTCTTTCTTGCAATCAAACATATAGTACAAATCAAGCAAAGCTTTGTAAAGAAACTTTTTGGTTTGCAGGCGCGTATAGCTCGAACTCGGATTGCAACCAAGTCATCGTGACATGTTCTTGAGAAGTCAGTCCAAGCTCGCAGAGCTCGCGAAGAAGCTCGAAGTCATCGTCACTTCACGTATACGCGTCGAGCTTTTCTCGCACGTATGTCTGTGTATACTTTTCGCGCTGCAGCAGACTTCACTTGCATAGTGCGCAAGACGAATCTTGAATTCGTCGTACTTCGTGTACACATGATGCATATTCATTCATATTTATTCACGGAAGAATAGGTTCGCATCGCTCGTGTAAATGCATGCATGCGACGACGGTAAGGTACACACACGATGACAACGACGACGACGAAGTGCGATTAGGTAGGCGAAATGTAGCACGTACAATTACTATATAGCTCGCCTACATTGTACATTGTCTGCTGTGCTAGGCGAAGAGGTGACACACGCGCGTTTACCTCTGAGTGGGTGCACAGATCTCTGCGCCTGGCTGCTCTAGGAGAGAGAGAGAGAGAGAGAGAGAAAAAAAGTCAAGCACGAAGAAAAGCTGTACTTTACCCTGCACGTTGTACAGCGTCGACTCGTTAAAAAATCTGCACGATGTAGGCTGGCACATACGCGAACTCACGAGTCTAATCGTTCAGCGAGAACAAGGCCATTTCCCGGCGAAACGCATCGGGCTCGTCGCGTTCATGTATGTATGCACGACGATAACAGCGATCCGCCAAGCTGAGAACGACGAGATATCGTTCTTTTTTTGAAATGTCACGCGCAGTTTTCTACGTGTCATCGTACACACAGGCCGAAGCTTTTTCTTTCCGATGAAATATTTAAGAGGATAAATCAGGCCACGAGGATTCGATCGATAAATCGAAAGAGAGAGGAAGAGAAACAGTTTTGATGCATATAGGCGCGAGTTAATTATGAAACAAATCGTAAAATCTTAATCGAGCATAATGAGCCAGTAGAAAATATTTATACTTATGACTCGTCAGCGACCATTGTATCTTTGGTTAACCGGTCGCGTGTTTATACGTTTAACTCTAATATTTGAGAAAACAATTCGAATATTACCGCTCACTATATCCGGTTACAATTGCACTTATTTAATTCATAATGCCAAGTATTTTTTTCTTACAAGCAGATGACACGCAGAGAAAAAGAGAATATGCACGGTGCAAAAAAGAGCTACAGAAAACAAGAAAAAAAAGTTCTAGCGAGAGAGGCACGCGGCTCGACTCGAAGCGACAGAGAGTAGGTATAAGTAAGAATGAAAAAAGACGAAGCAAAGTCTACAGAGAGAGAGAGAGAGAGAGAAGAGTATAATATTATAATGAAAGAACGAATGAATGAATGAGCGAGCGAATGAATGATATACATGCTCGCGATATGGCGTTTTATGCGCGCATGAATGAAGCCAGCGAATATATATATAAAATGAAAGAAGCTCTCTGGGACGGGCCGAGGCGCGGGGGCCCATTTATTAAGCATGCCAAAAGTGTGAAGGCAGCAGCTCCAACACGTCTTTGCGAGGAGGAGGCAGCCTTTGAGCAGTGCGTTGTGTAGCGAAACATTTATATATATATAGAGATGGCTCGTCGACGAGCTCTCACTCGAGCACTACGCGCATACCCTTTCGCTTACACAGGACGTTTTTTCTCGGAATAGGATACATGGCATCTCTCTCTCGGGCGATGTGCGACTACGTCAATGCGGACGCGACTATATATACAACGATATGCATCGTAATATACAAAGCTATGCGGGTCCATAGGCAGAGGTGCGAGACCGAAGAGACTCTAAGAGCGCAACTAAAAAGGATACCGCGATTCCCGACATCATTATGCACGGAACAAAAGCTGCGCTGCGAGCCTCGAGAGTCAAAGTAGGTATATACCTGTGTCCGAGGAGCGTGCCTATATAGCAGGTATAGAATATAATACGGAGCAAACATGCGAGAGGCGCCGCTAAATTACGCTCGTGGGCCTTATAAATGCGATCGCGCGTCCAAAAAAGAAGCTTTGCGGCCAGGCGTGCTGCTTCCTGTGCGAATTCCGATCGGCCGACTACAACGACCGAGAGCAATGTGCTACATTTTTCAGAGGGTCTTTCGGCCAATATGCGGATTATCTTTTAACCGCGATGCTTGCAGCCGCGTGTGCTTGCGCCGAGTCACTCCTTCGCCTTGTATACGATTCTCATCATGAATTATATACAGATTACAGTCCTGCACGAACGCGTTCAAAATTTATTCCTCGAAGAAAAAAAAATATTTCATGAATTCCATCGTCGATTGATCTGCAAAGTGTCATCGCTCGGACGCGCAAGATGCAAAAAATATTCTGGATAGTTTACGCGGCCGAGAGCACTGCATCGAGTAGAGTACGGAAATCACGGCTTGTGTACGGGCCTCGAGGTTCGCACGTCCGTATGTATATGTGTATTACGATGCTGTGTGTATGCAGCTGCGAGGCACACGCACATATAAGTGCGCCGGCAATCGGGCTTCGCCTTACTCCCACGCGTCTCGAGTATACGCCGACCGGGACTACTCAAAACTTTATACTATATACCTCGCGCTCGGTCGTTCGGAGGTTTTGTTAAAAATTTTAGAAGAAGTGTTTTATGATAAATTTTTGCATGTACGATTGAAATCATTGGGATAAGAAAAGCTGCAATTTAAATTTTAAACAAAAAATTATACAGGAAATTTTTAACGTTACAATGATATCAGATCTCAAATCTTGCAACGAGAAAAGACAAAATTAAAAGTCATGGACCCTAAGTATTAGTGTACCAAACGTCAAAGTCAAATTCATGACATCCAAAGAGTGTGTCAGTCACGTGTAGTTTAAATATATTTTTTTTCATTTTCAAATCAGAGTAGACTTGAGCTATCGTATTGTGGAACTCTCACATGTTGGACTTGTGCAGTTTTGCCTTTCTGCGTTTCTCGCAAAATGAAGTTATGTACTAGACGTTAGATGTGCTTATTTTGACACTTATACCTCAAGGTAAACATTAAATGTAGGTGATTTCCATCGTTAACTCGATTTCGAAAAAATTGAGTGATATCTTCTTGACTTCCTACCACAAATATAATATAGAATTACATTATACATATTACATCAGTGAGTAAAAGAGAGAAAGAATAAGGATGGATAGAAGCCGAGGAGACTGCGACGCGAGTCTGTCGCTACATAAACCGTCTCTCGTATAATGCAGCCACTGCACATGAGCGACGTGATCCAACTTCCTATATCGACGCCTCGTAAAAATGTGAGGGATGAGCCGCCGCTGCCGCTGCTGCTGCGTCGCGCTTTATATAAACAGAAAAAAGTCTCGAGTCCCTCGAGGGTTCTCGGGCTCTTAATATACAAAAAAAGAAAATAAAAAATAAATAAATAACAGGAAAAAATTCGCGCGACGTGTCGTCGTGGCCTGCTTTTATCGCGCGCGCAGGACGACGAGCGCCAGTCATGACGATATACTCACTCGCGCACATACGCGTCCCGTCTCCAATTTATCTTCTTGCTCTAAAGAGCATTTTATTTTTTATTTCTTCTTTCCCGAGCTTGGCGTCATACTCCTTTGACTTTTACACGATTCGTGGTGTCTACTATAAATGCAGCATTGCGTCATAATTAACTTTTTCACGCGCTTCCAACATTGATCGTTACCGTAAGTATTTATATTGCATATAATTATTAAATTAATTTATTATTAGATCATGATTTTAAAATTAATAAACCAAAATTTTTGCATTCCTCCATTTGCTGAGTCAATGAAAATTCATTGAAACAGTTACAGTCGTTTAAAGTTTGGCCTGAATTAATTTCTTTTCCCCCGAGTATAAATTTGACAGCAGTTTCATAATTGATATTTTGCGGCTCGTGTAAATGAAGACACTGAGGCACACAAACTTTAGAATTGCCACGACTTGAATACAACTTGTAGGGCGCGATTTTTGTGAGAAAATTACTCATGTTAGAATTTTAAGCTCTCTGCAAAAGGTGATGCTTACTTTTTCGGCTGGAAACTGCAGTTTCACCCTGACCTAATTACAGCGCGTACAGAGAGTATAGTCGAGTAAAAACGTCTTGAGCGCATAGTCGAAAAATATTAAACTCGAGTGCATGGCAGCGGGTGATCAAAATACCAGCTTGTAGCCCAGAATTATTTTATTTATATTTATTCGCCTTCCCTCTCGGTTTTACATATTTTATGAATAGTCCGTGTTGATTTGCAGCTCGAGTATGGCGCTTCGTATTTTGAATATTTGTTGCATTCTACACAATTTTTTTATCTATATTGACAAAGTTCACTGATGCAGAATAAAAAGATGCACAATGTAATCAACGGAGCTTTTTTCGCGCGCGTCACTTCGTTAAATATTGGTTATATCGTCGTATTGTAGTATAGCGCGACAATGACGCATACGTATGCACGGGTCTATGTAGAAAAAAATTTAAGGGCGCTTAAAAAAAAAACGCGAACTAGTGAAGTATACGTGCGAACCGAATAGAATCTGTGTCAAGCTCAACCTGGGCACGCACGAGTATTTTCTTGCGCGTCAATTCTTTTTTTATAAAAAAAGCTCACAATTCAATCTAGCTGCGAGCTTTTACCAGCTGTCAGACTTGAAACATACTCCGCCATCCTCTTTGCACGCAAAAAACATTTCTCACGTGCGTTCGATAATCCAGAAAGAGACGAAAATACAAATGGATTCTTGTTTTAAAGTAGGGTGAACAATAATTTGCATTCTCAACTTTTACATTTCTTCATATTATTTATCGCTGAGTACTCAACAAGATTGAAGTTCGACAAATTTTAATATTCCATAATTAATAATTAATGTTTGATTTTATGAAATTGCGTAATTTTCGTGCATAAAATTTAAATAATTGACTGATACATTTTATTTAAAAATATAAAATTAAGAATTTATAGTCGAACTAGAACTCTGTAAACCAGAAAATAGGTAACAATATAATTTATTCAAATTAGCAGAATGCATAATTTAAATTTATAAATAATAAAAATAATTAAATATAAATTACAGAAAATCCATTACCAATTGTTTATATTAATGATGTATAAAATCATCATAAAATATCTTCCTCTACTGTAGTATTTAAAATTGCCGCGATTAGCATGCAGCGCTGTCGTTGATTTCGACGCTCTCGGAGCATTAACGAATTACTTTGTGTTGCGGGTAAATCTACCGCTTGATACATAACCAGCGCTCGAGCCTCGCTGCATCTGACTGAATAATATCCCAACAACTAACGCTTTCGTAGACGAGGCGTGAAGCCACCGCCATTGTACCCTTGATTAGACAGCTTTGCAATCCATTGTTTAGTTCTGCTTTTACAACTCAAAAAGTCGTATTGCTAAGAGCCAAGCTCATCTGACAGGATGGCTGAGTACTTGGCGTCCATCTTCGGCACAGAAAAAGACAAGTAAGTTTTTTGATTTAGGCGTCCATCGGCTTCTTGGAGGTTCGGTATTGATTTTTTTGCCGAGAGCGTGCATTGCACTTTAAATTATTCAAGTTGTGAAATTATATATTGTGCTTTGATATACGTGTGTGTCTTTTTGGCGGCGGTAGCATACTCGAAAACGTGTATTGCATCGTACGAAATAACCCATAATATTATTGTCTTGTGGTGCGCAAACACGCCTTTTGCGTACGCTACGGCCGCCGAATAGACACTTTCTTAATATACACATCTGATCTGAGAATATAACGATTGTTTTTTTTGTTTTTTTTTCAGAGTAAATTGCTCTTTTTACTTTAAAATTGGAGCATGCCGACATGGTGATAGATGTTCTAGAATTCACAACAAACCCACTTTCAGCCAGGTAAGATCTTCATGATATAAATGAAAAAACTTGGTTTTGAATTTTGTTATAGTTATGAATATGCTTTTACTTTTGGGATAAAAACTTCTAATCTATAATCATGTTATTATTTTTTCAGACATGTTTACTTCAGAACTTATACGTAAACCCACAGAATTCAGCCAAAAGTGCTGATGGCTCGCATTGTAAGTATTCATTTTGTGAATGTTCTTTAACCACGCTTCTAATTAAAATATCTACTTAATTATTTTGTTTTATCTGATCTTGTTTGTTTTAGTGGTTGCAAATGTATCTGATGAAGAAATGCAAGAGCATTATGATAACTTCTTTGAAGATGTGTTTGTTGAATGTGAAGATAAATATGGTGAAATTGAAGAAATGAATGTTTGTGATAACTTGGGAGATCATTTGGTTGGAAATGTTTACATAAAATTTAGACGAGAGGAAGATGCAGAAAAAGCTGTAAATGATTTGAACAACAGATGGTTTGGTGGAAGACCAGTATATGCTGAGCTTTCACCTGTCACAGACTTTAGAGAAGCTTGCTGTCGTCAATATGAAATGGGGTAAGAACTATATTATTAATTTGCAATATTTTTCATACAGACATGAAAGAATGAAAAATCTATGGAAACATACGTTCTATACTTGAATAGTTATTTGAATAATTTATTCTTCAATTTATTACTAAATATTATTATTACTATTCAAGAGTAGAATACGATCCATTTGTTTTTTAATTTATGCTTATGAACAATTCCTTCTTTAATTTTTGAGTTCACATTTTAAACCTTCAAAATACGTTCACTTTATGACTCTCTCTATTTTACAACATGAAACAATTAAGCTTTTTGTAGATATTTCACAATAATTTTTATGCATTTTAATACAAGTTTCCAATTTTTGGCATTTAATAACAAGTGCATAAATGAGGGTTTAAAAGTATCTGTAAGAGAAATATTTGTAGCAATTCTATTGAAATGCACATTTGAAAATCATAATAATTGTGTTCAAATTTTTTATATCTTAGCGCTTTGAAGGGTTTAACTGTGAATAGGTAACTTTTGTATTTCTCATTCTTTGCATTACACACTTGAAGCTGTAATTTTCATTCATTGCTAATGTAATGGTTTAATGTTTGTTTCAGTGAATGCACAAGATCAGGATTTTGCAACTTCATGCACTTGAAACCAATATCTCGAGATCTCCGGCGTTATCTTTACAGTCGTAAGAAGGGTGGTGGTGGTGGTGGTCGCGGAGGAGGCAGATCACGTTCCCGCTCAAGATCTCCCAAACGGGATCGCAAACGACGATCGCGCTCTCGTGACCGTCGATCTCGATCCAAGGATCGGCGTAAGGGTAGAGACAGTCGATCTGGACGATATTAGATACAAGTAAAGTCTGAAGTATAAATGAATTTAACAATTTGAATCATTGTATTTGTGTAAAATCCAATTATAAAATGAAATTTAGGATAATAATGTAAAAATAGGATGATGTAAAATGAACAAGAACTATAATAAAGACAACGTTTGCAGGTATGCGAACATTTTCCACAAAAAATAATTATTACTGCTAGATAACTTTTTCATACAGTTATTCATACTACAACTGTAAAATGTCACCCGTAATTTTTTACGTATTTATCTTTTGAATACAATCTCCATGTGGAAGTGAAATACCTTGTAATTGTGAACGAATTATTTAGAGGACTCTACATGCACTAGGGTTTTAATTAGAGTTCGGAAAATATATGTATTTGTTTTCTTTTCATTTTCGTCAAATAATTGGGCAAGAGAACATTGTACACATGAAACTTGTTCACGGGCGTTTATTATACGTAATCAAAATTTAAAAAATTTTAAAAAATAATCGTAATTGTAAGTTTTTAAATTTAAAAAAACACTCGATCATGTGTACAAATATTGGACACATTTTGCTGGTGTACAGAAATGCCCGTTTACAAGTTTCGTGTGTATCGTGCTCATCAAACATGTTTTCGTGTTCATTCTATCAAATAATACAACTAGTGATAAAAAAAATTAAAAAAAATCCCGAGTTGACGAAAATTTTTATATATTTTGACTTTGAAACAGGAATTATTTATACTATAGTACAACAAATACTTTGTTACTATTGCATGATACGCGGAAAAAAATTCCAACAGAACTATTTACCGACCATCAGTTTTGAGCGAGAACTGGACTCTGTGTTACCAGCGAACCATATACGATACTACAACAGTATACGAAACCGCCGTTAGTGAGTTTTTGGCGTTGCTACGCTTTCATTCAAAGTAAAAAGTTTCGAACCTGATTTTTGTATTCGGAATCTGTGAGTAAATTAGACTGTATAGGCGTATTCAAAACTAAATAATTTTAGAAGTTTATACGTTTAAATGATTAAATTTTGTACTTTTTTTAGAATTCCATATGGTTCATTGATGTAAATTTATCATTTAAATTTAAATTTTAAAATCATTTTTATTATTTTAATTTAAGTCTCAAAAAGTTGCTCGAATTTCTTAATTAGTTATGTTGAACAAGCTGATTAGTATTAAATTTACATTTGATTTCTTGAATATTCTTCGATTAAAAAGAAGAGAGATGAACGTACCATTGTATATTTACGATCAAGGCTACCTTTAGACTTGAATCAACTTTTGTACAATTTGAAATAAACAAATCTTCGCACTTCGCTCAGTTGGTTGTGAGGTCACAAAATAAGCTATAACCCCTGTCCACAAGGTTACCAGTAAAATGCTCGTATAAATTTAATATAAAAAATGAAAAACAAATTAATGATTGTTTTTATTTTATATTCAATTGTTAAATATATTTTCCTTGCATGTAAAAATAAAAGTCCATACATATATTATCTACTCAATAATATTTTGCCCATCATTCCAAAGCCGAAGTTCTTCAACCCTCCATTAACATATATTATCTTTAATTACTTCATTTCAAACATAAAAAAAAGTGTCGAAATGACTTGGATAATCTTTTCAACATATTTTTTCTGTTACTAGACGTTAAATATCAAGCGCATGAAAAAATTTGATAGAATCATAAAACATTTTTTTAAATTTCATTAAATCAGAGCGTAATCTATCATAATAATAATATTATTATTTATTTGAAATCGTAAATATGAATAATTTTCAAAACAAGATCAAACATCGTCTCGAATACTTCGTTTTGGTTAAAAATACCTCGAATACTTTTTCTTACCAGATCGATCGCGAGTTTGATTTGAAAGCTGACGAAAATTACACAGCCTGCGTATTACCTCAAAGACCACAGCAAGATGTTGTACACAAAAAATGCGTACGTATAGCCCAGTCGCGCATTCCTCGGAGTACTCGGGAGTATCGGTTCGCCCGGGTCCAAAACTCGCTTGTGCGTGGAATCGAACGCCTTCCGACGAATAGAAATAAAAAAAAAACCAAGATCAAAATGACGTACGAGCTCGAGGCATACCTGCTGTATACGTGCGTGTGTGTGTGTAAGGGTAAGCTTATACTTATCAAGGAACATCCTCGAATCCGTGTAGAGGCACGTGTTTTTGGCAGCGGTTAATTGGTGGCCAGCTGCATCGGCAAATGTAAGGCGCGTGTCGATGGGCTCGTCGAGATTGCAGCTGCCGCGAAAAAAGAAGCGCAGAGCCTGCACCTGCGCTGCGGCTCCGTCTCCGCATGCATCAGCAGCTCCAATACACAGCATACACTACTGCATATACACACAAACGACGATGTGTTTTTCTCTTTCTTAAATGTACAAGACGCGCTCGTGCCGCGAAGCAGCGCCGCACACATGCGATGCTTCATCTCGTCCACTATGGTCATTTCGGTCTTGGTCTTTATTTTTTTTTTCATCCTTCTTTCTCTGCGGAGTCTGCTCCTTGCATTTCGAATTTACGTGTGGTCTCTTTTTTATCTCCGCTCAGCTTTTGCTCCTCACTTAAATACACAAGACTTATCCCGAAGTAATGCCGAGGCAACACGACAAACGGATATAAAGGAAGATTCAGTTTGATGCAAGCAAGAGTGCCGTGGCTCCGAGCGTCAATATTTTTCTCGGATCCGAGAGATATTAATTTCAAATTGATTTAATTATTATTAAATATTATTTTACGAAATGTTTACATATTGAAATTCTGCATTCGAAAACGTTTGAAAAAGTATATAATTTATAAATAAGTTTTCCACTAAATATTTAGTTGAAATAAGTTGCAAACATGTTTGGATATTAACATTTTTATATACTTTTCTTTGGAAAGGCATTAATCCGACGCAATATTTAGGATCGAAAGAAAAACAAAAACCTTCTGTGTGTATATTGAAAAGTCTCGAGCGTGGACCCACCATAGATAGAGAGAGAGAGAGAGAGAGAGAGAGAGAGAGAGAGAGAGAGAGATTGAGAGAGAGTTGGTAACTGCGTGCTGTGCCGCGCACGCGACCCTCAATATTATAACTTTATCCCTATTGCCGCGCTATGGTCCTCGATATTGACTGAATTTTCTTCTTCCCTCTCTCCGCTATATACTTTTTCAATACTTTGATTCGCCCGAAAAGTTCGTCGGTCTCCAGGGCGAATCTTATTATCGGTGCCTACTAAAAAATAAAGAACAAGAAAACTGCCAACTTTTGCCCAATTGCCGTTACCTTATAAACCGTATCTATAATACGAGAGAGCGAGTGAGTTGACCACACGTTGCGGTCGCTTGATAAATTTGTGTTTGTGTAACAGAGAGGAAGAAGACTTCGGCATTCGGAAGATCGGCAAACGTGCCGCGGCCCCAGCGGATTGCGACGAAAGATGATGGGCCAAAAGTCCTCTCTCGCGCACGCGTGCAGTAATATTTAAATGAAGGTACCTCGAGAGCACGACAAACAACCAAAAGAGACCCATTTGCAAATAGACACTAAAGTCCTGACTCCTGAAGTTTATTTATATGGGTAAAATAAAAGGGGGAGCGATTTATAATACGCAATGGTACTCGATGCTTTGTGTATCGAGAGCTACTCTCTCACTCTGTCTCTCATCTCTAGCTCTTTCTGTCCCCCTAGTCGGCTCTCGAATTTTCACGTTTATAGTTGTTGTTTGATCATTATCGCGCGATCGGTCCATGCGGAGGTTTTACACAGACGGCTACGCGTGCGCACTTGTGCCTTTTAGAAGTACACCCCCGCACATGTACAAAGCACACACACACACACACAGTATAACGCAGCCAAGAACTCAGGGCGAAAAACTTTTCATCTTTGGACCCTTCTTCTTCTGCTTGGGCTGCGATTTCGTGCTATTTGCTCTTTTGTAATTAGAGAATCACATCGTCGCGTGTATATATATATATACGTCGAGAATTTCTCTGCGCTATACGTGCAGGTTTTGATACGATTAATGATGCTTTTATGTTAAATTAAGCAAATATACAGCGAGAGCTGAGATCTGCGCCAGCCCGCATGTACAATACTATACGCGATGCTCGAGCGCAGTTGTCGCGACTGTCCTCTTTGCCACTATGCAACAGAAGGAATGCTAATAAAATTTTTGTTCAATTTTCGCATAGTTTTATAACGTCTATGTATTCGTGGATATATTATACTTACGTACATACACGTAACTTTTGGAAAATATATATTCGCGGGTTTTTGGCGTAGCAGTGAGTTCAGATATACTTATTACATGTTTGTGTAAATATTACGACTGTAGTTGTAGACGAAAAGCTTCCCACAAAACACGTAAACCTCTAAAATGCGGCTAGCGGCGTATAAATAAATCCCAAATCCCCGAGCCATCCGATTAACGCTTTGATTTAAATTCTCTCTCCGAAAAATCATGATGTACACGCATTTTTCTGCATTGCTCCGCGAGAGACGACCTGTATCTGCAATACATATTACATAGATATATTCACAGGATCAAGAGCAGTAAGCAAATTTTCTGCTGAACTCGGCTGGATTATCATTTTCCTGCGTACTTGCGTACCTCTTAAATGTTTCTTTTTCGCGCAGAATGTGCACTGCCAGATAAGGTGAGCGCGTGCGATAAGTCGTAATGTATGCCTCTCGCGACATCTCTTTAATATATCAATTTTACTGTTTCTCCTCGCTACTCTCGATACACCGGGGATTTATTGATAGAGCCACGTAGAATACGTTTCATGCCAAGAATCAATTGAACGGTTAGAGTTATCGAGCTACAGCTGCATGACAATTTTTTTTTCGTTTCTTTTTTTTTTTTCGTTACTTTTAATCTGATATTTGATCGTGGAATGGATATTCAATTTTTAACCAAACAAATGTCTTGGAAAGAATATGTATCTTTTTTGTTCAGTTTTATACACTTTTGCAAAAATCCGCACGAAAAAGCAAGGATTTCATCTCAAAACGAACGAGCTGTCCAAGTTTGCTCCGATAACTTAGTTTCGTAGTGCGCGGACTTGTCAAACTACAGGGGCGCAGCAAATATTGAAAAATTACAAAATTACAACGACGCGTGCGTATAAATTTGCAATTACTTTTTCGTTAGCTCCGAATCTCCATAAAAGTCACGTCCTTTCCC